TATATATATATATATATATATATATATATATATATATATATTTCTATTTTCGTCATTGTAGAGTGCGCGAAGATATTGAGTCCCACCTAGGCATTGTGTCCAGTCCAAAAAATACAGAAATAAAAATAAAAAAACATCAGCAAGTACTTGGACGATCGATATCATCTCTGAAAGTACACGACGGTCTATTGAGTCCTACATACATACTATCTGTTGAAAAAAGTATATCAAACTCCGAGTCCTGCAGTACCGTTGTCATCACCACAATGACCTTCTACAGTCCTCAAATCCAACGAGTTGAAGTTGAGCCATTTCCGATAGACTTGCATCATCACGACACTACCGATCCTGTTGGAGCACCAAGATATTACAAATCTGTAGTAGAAAAACCGACAGGAATATCACAAATACTCCGAATAATTCTCGTGGGTACTCTCGATGGCGATGTAGGCCGAATCACGTGGGATGGTTTTGATTTTGAAACTGGACTAACAGTGAATCGCGAATCAGCCCGGTGGATCTGGCGGAACGAAGGCATTCACGATGGACCTGTCACCCATTCGATAAGATCTTGCTATCTTGATAATGTCGTATTAACTGTAGGTGGAAAAAGCTTCGCCATTTGGCGTGAGGATTTTGATGAACCCATTTTCTTCAGAAGATCCTCGATAAGGTACACAAATAAAATCACTTATTCCTTACCCACTTTTTCTTATATTTAATTCTTTCTTTCCATTTATTTTTTTTTTCTCGTTCGAGTGTCTTCTTTCAAGTATTTTATAAGTGTACTCGTGCAGATATAACTGATTAGATAAAATAGTTTGGATTTGAAATATAGATACACCGCGTGCTCGTGGTATACTTGCCGTCCGACAGTCTTTATGCTGGCACGTGCTGACGGCACCATTGAATTCTGGGACTTGATGGTCAAAAGCAACGAAGCTTGCTTCACACAAAGTCTCTCGGGTCAGATCATAACGGGAATTTACCCACACGAGTTTGCTACAACGCTTAAAGCTGACGGTACTGTTGCTACTGGGCAGTGTGTTGCTTTTTGTGATGTTAATGGCATGATGCGGGTCTTCACAGTGCCACCAGAGTTTTCAGTCTTCGAGGAGGGTAACGTCCACTGGATGAGAGCATTTGTGGACCGTGAGGTCAACAGAGTAAGTTACATTCAGTATTCACAGAGAATGCCGGAGACTACACATTGAGTATTTTTTCTTTACAAGAAAACACATACCTTTGCTCAAATGGTAGACGGTAGACTTGTGTGTACTCTCTGCTACCGCAGTACTCCTCTTTCAACAGTATACTGCGAATTCTCAAGTTAAATTCCTCTTGTTTATACACTCTTGAATATTGCAGATAGAATTAACAAGACAATGGACAAAGTCTTGGATGGACAATACTGACAACAACAAGAGTATCGAAAAAACTACCAGCTATTCTCAAGAAGTTCGAAAAAAAGTTATTGAAACTGTGGACAAAACCGAACCCGGTCGAGTGACTAAAATCGATAAGACAATAAAATCCAAACCGGTATGTTCTCAATACAAAGTTTTCTATTTGAATTCTTTCTTTTTTTTTTTTTTTTTGAAACTTTTAGCTTTATTTTCAGACTCTAGCTTCTGTATTGTAAACTGTTTTAATTATCCAACAGGAACGTACAAGACAATTTATTAAGGAAGCACAAAACAATTGGAAGACAATGGAATTGAAACGTATGCAACGAGTAATTTTGGCAAAGAAGGGGCTCCGTGTCGAGGAACTCGAGAGACGTCGGGAGCCAGTATTAAAGCTACGGCAGGAAGGATTGAAAAAAGAAGAAAAAATTCGTGATATGATGCAGCAGAGAGACCGGATATTCGAGGACACAGTGGCCTTCCTTTTTCCGGAACGGAACTACGACTACGGCTATGGCTATGGCTACGCCAACGTGACCACTATAAAGACGGAGAAACTTGATAACAAGGATAGTAAGGGTGTCAGGAAAACTACTACTAGTACTACTACTACTGCTGCTGCTGCTACCACTAACACTACCACTACTGGTGCTATTACTGCTGAAACTACAACTACAATAACGTCTTGTACGAAAATCTCCTTTATTCATTCCTCAAAGACCAATTCGACTTTGGTAAGTTTGTGATGATGATGGTAAAGCACTTTCGGTTCTCTCAACCAGATATATATATGTGTGTGCAGAACTTTACATTGTTCACATTGCTATTTTAGGTAACGCCAGACAATCTTCAACAGATTATACATAACTTCCAACAAGTTTCTGTGGATTTGGAAATTATGCGGCGAAATCATGCAAGGATGTCTGTTGATTCTTTTGATTGGCAGCAGACCTTGATTGAGGCACAGAAACATGCTAAAGATGATCGAAAATGACGTCAAAGAGGAGATAAAGAAGATATAAAAAGACAGAGATAAAAATCTCTTTTATCTATTAGAGGACAACAAAGAAGTAATAATTGCGAGGTACTTTTAATAAAATAAATTTAATTTACCCTGTAAAGTGACAATCAACTATAACGTCAGTCTTTTGATCATAACTAATTCGGTTGATCGGTAAATTAAAGTGTAACATTCACAGTGTGGCCAGAACGTGCTCTTTTCTTACCCCCACTTTGTAGGCCACTCTCATCTGACTATATTGAAAAGCGGTACAAAGTGGGGGTAAAAAAATCGCACGATCTGGCCACACTGAACATTCATTTTTTGTACTGAGAAAAAGAACAAAAGAGAATAAATTGATTTGACGACCAATTAATAAGTTGAAATGAAAATAAAAAGTGAGGAAGAAAATTAAAATTAATATTAAATTAAAAAAATAAAAAATACATTGGTGGACCGAGAAAGGATGTGGATAAAAATGTCGATAAATCGGTTATACCAGGTGATTTTTCATTATAAAAACCTGGTTAAAAAGTTTTTAGCCGCAGGGATAATGAATTTGCGATTTCAAATTATACGGCTACGTGATTTCTTTTATTTTTTTTTAGTTAAAACTCATTTAACATTCACATTATTCTGCGGTGCTGACAAACAATCACGTTAAAATAACACAATAATGGTTTACATAACAATTTCGGTGTATTTAAAATAATTGATTGGTTTTTAAAAAGGTAAAAGAATTTTTTATATCCAGTTTATATAATATTCCATAAAACTTATTAATATTTCATGAATAATTTTTTTTTTATTTGTATGGGTGTGTGTTTTTGAAAAATATTTTTTCCCGACGTCAATACCTATTATTCAATATCATTGACTTTTCTTCATTATTATCCGGTACACAAAGCATTGACAGAAAACGTTGAAAGGCTTTCAATGCCATTGTGCTACCCTCAATCGCGAAATTAATCGCACTGTATAAAACAATAGGGAAATGACGTCAAATCAATTCGAAAATTCACCGTGTCATTTATGGTTTAATTATTTTACAAGAGCACATCGATTTTTTTATTCATCCTGATCAAATTCATTTTTGAGTTACTCCTTTGATTTATAGATTTGCATATTTTCAAACATACGTATGGTATATTAACTCTCTTGACACAAATTTATAAATAAAATGTGCCTCACTGAATGCGTTATTGATGTTTATTAAAAACTTTTTTTTGCTCGACGGGCAGAAAGCGTCAAATTTCGGCCCGCTGCGCTAAACGAAATTGCCACTTTCTGCCTTCGTCGAGCAAAAAAATAGCATACACTCCTCGGGAAGTAAATAAGAAAGCCTCAGATCACATGTTTGTTGACCTCGGCTTTGCCTCGGCCAACAATTACATGTGATCTGAGACATTTCTTACTTTACTTCCCTGTGTGTAATATACTATTTTACGGTTGATCAAATTCTGATAGATAACCTACTCCCGCAGGTAATCTCTTGATAATTTGTGTTGAGTATAAATATTTGTTTATTTGCTTCATTAAAACTTTTGTTTATGAAACCGGCTCATTATTATTTCTTGAACCTATTGACTTCCCGAAAAAATCGAAAATGACAAAGCTTTTTGAGTGAAATTAATATTGGTTATCAGTTTTTTTTTCAACTCAAACAATCTATTTTATTATTTTGAACCATCTATTAAATTATTAATTTAAATATTTTCCTTTTTATTATTTAGAATTGATTAATTAGAATATTTCAAATAACGTATTCAATTCAACAATTATTAAAGTTACAACAGTCGTTTAACATTCAAAGTTAAATTATTTGAAGTTCCTAATAAGAAATGAAATCGGTCATTGATTTTACATTAAGTTTATACAGTTGGGTTATAAATTATATAAATTAAATCAATAAATCAATGATTTCGAAAATAAAATATTTATCCCAAAAAAACGTTTTCCGACAAATTAAAAATTTTTTTCATTATGAAAAAAAAAAAAATAATAAACAAAGTGCATGGTTTTGACGATTGTCGCAGATTGTCGATTGTTATTGCCCAAGTTTGCAACTCTGCACACAATCTCTTGACTGCAGTGGAGTTGGATTCTTATGTATCCTTCAGATTTTATCTCGAGTTTTCTAACCGCATCTACCTCAACAATCTGACCGCTCAAATGCGAGGAAAACTTTTTTTTGGCCCTCGTTTATTGACCAAAGCCGAAGTAGTTCCTGAAACAAAACGAAGTTCACCCTTACGAAAATTGTCCACAGTATGTCTTTGACGTCAGTTCGTTACAACTCATCAAGTACACATGTCCTTTATTGTTTTTTCTGTTATTACTTGTCCTACCACGTTCTGTAGTAATCAATTTACACTCTGCTGTCTTTATTGGACACAATTGATGATGAGAATTTAATAATAAAAATTTGTAGCTATTCATCATCCGCGTGTCAACATGTATTAAGCTTATTAAATAAATTTCTGATAAAAAAGACCCTATTTACTCCATCACAATTAATTATCTTGTTGCTGACTTGATTGTACATGTATCGGCTAAAAATGAGGCTTGACTTATGGATTTTTTCGTGCTGTCAGTCAAACTTGAAACAAAAATTCTGAGCTAATCAAAATTATTTCAATGTAGAAAAGAAAATAATTCTTTTTAAAAATAAAGATTTTTTAAACTTCGGATGTAATTTTTTCCATGAAATAAAACAAGAAGAAGATTAGCATTATAATTCTTGTTGGAATGAGCCTTATGTCAGATTACACGTGACTGAGTGTTAAAACAGGTTAACTGAGATTCTAAGTACCGAAAGGACAAGACAGGAGGATTGTCGAGGAACCCGAGAAGTTTGAAACAAGGAGTAGCATATACAGTGCTGTGCCAGTGGAAACTGGGAGCATCAGAGTCCGAAAGCTGTGAGTACGAAGCCAACCAAGTTCACCGTAGAGTAACACGAAAGGTTGGACAGTAATAATCGTTAGGGGCCACTAGTGACCAGCTAGTGAAATCTCCCTCGTATCGCCGAAACAAGTTAAGGGATGGTGAGACCTCAGGCGTCTGACAGAACAAACTCTCTACTGTATACTCTACTCGAGAAACTTTAAGGTTCTCGCTGCTCGCTCGGATATCGGAACCTTAAACCTTGTCTTACTACTTTAAACTAGGTAGTACGCTTGTGGTAGTGATGCTGGATCTGGGCCCCAGCTGTCGATACGAGATATTCTGGATTTCATAATCGAGAAAATCCAAACATTTATTTGTTTTATTAAAGTTATTTTAGTTTACTTTGCCAAGTTTGGGAAAAGACGTTAATTTTATTTTTCTTTTGGAAATCAATAGATTTTGTTTTAAAGTTTATTTATATTGACTGAAACATATGATTTTCTTTAGGATTCAAAAAAAAATTTTTAATAGATAAAATGGTCGGAATATTTTCAAAGTATCAGCTGATTTTTAATTAATTTACGACCTCCGAAGTGAAATTTATTCCAAAAACGATTTTATTTATATTGTTAATAAAAAAAAAGAATTTTTTTTCTTAGTTTAACATAATTAATGAACTTTTTAATTTTAAAAAAATCGCATCAGTATGTTATTTTCAATCTTTACAAGCAACATTTTTTGAAAAAATTATCTCTCCAATAATTTGCTTGTTAAGAAGTCCTAAAAATTACAGTTTGTGAGTTGATTAAAATAATTAATTTTATTCAGTTAAACATAGTAATGTTAATAATTTATAAGTTTTTACTTTTTACATTAGGATTCCTCAACAAGAGTTAAAAACAAAATAATCTTTATTTTTAACAAAGTTATTTTTAACAAACTAAAACTTGTTTTAGGTAATTAAAATTTATTTCAGTCTAAAAACTCTGTACTCGGATATTTTTCAGATTAAGATTCATATTTTCTCTAAAATCACTCCACTGAAAAAAAAGTTCATACTTACTTTTTATGGGGAGTGTTTTATTTCTTTAATCCAGTACTCCGTAAAATAGGAGTGAAATTTCACTATGAATTAACTTCTGATTTTTTACAACGTATATTTTTTTATTTAAAAAAATTCTAAATCATTAATTGAACCTTAAATAATTCCCTATTATTTTTATTATTTTTATGGTACACAAACTATAGCTTTATCAATATAAGAATGTTAACTGCAATATTTAGGTCATGCACGAAGCACAGCTGAGAATTTTATTATACCCTGAAAACCGTATTATTTAAAATGATAAAAGCTGATTAAAGTTGAAACTATTATTAAGACATTTATTGCAGCTTAGATAAAAAAATGAATAAATTACAAACTGAAGATATTTTATAACAACAGAGTTAGTTGATAGATTAATATAAAAAATTTTACTCATTTATTTATATGAATGAAGTTTATATTGGATTAAATATTTTTATGGCAAAACAGTTCTAAATGTCTGAAAGCTGGCGTTATATAATTAATTGTCGTGTTAAAGTAAGTATACACAGTCTGGCAGATTAAATTTTTTATAACAATTATAATTGAATATACGAGATTTCAAATGGTGATGAATTTCCAAGCATCGTGACGTTGAATAAAGTGCAACAAAAACTCGCTCGGAAAGCATAGCGGATAAAAATGAAGATTAAAAATAAGAATAAAAAAAAAGTAAGTAAACAACAACAACAATAACAACAACAATACCAACAACAGTAACAGCAACAGCAAAAAGATAAAAGATAGCGATGAAAATAAAATACGAAGATATAGGGCTTGCTGGATGAAAAAAAAAATAAAAGATAGAGAAAAGAGACTCCTAAAGTAACACGGTCTCGTCGCTCTCGGGTCTCATTAACATTTTACATTACGAGAAGCAATTTACCTGGGCATCCGTGGCACGGTAAATTAATGAAGAGCGATGAGAGAATACTTTGAAAGGGTTAAAGTCGGCATTACGTTTACACCTTTTCATTAATTTATTTACATTCACCGGGTAAATATTATTAATAATACATCT